CTGTAACACATAAGCAGGCAAAAAGGAGCAAAACCACCCCGGTCCTGTCCCACACCACCCCTAAACTTAAGATCTAAGCTGGAAGGCTACCGTGCGCAAAGCCCAGCTACAGTAACAATCTCTGAACGGTCGGTAGTTCCGTTCTGAAGCTTCAAGGGGGCCTTATTTCTTCAGTGACGCCAAAACCAGTTTTTAAAGATTTGACTCCACAAGACACTACATCTTAAAAACTACTTTCTCCTAACCTGTCCTGGAATGGGGATTTGTTTTTTATAATAGACCATCCTTCACGTAAAAGAAACGAAGACAAAGCCACAACATTTCAAACCGCACCCATTCCTTTTTATTTCTGTTATTTTACCTTTGGAGGAAAAAGTAAGAGAGTTTCTCTTTATCCTCTAAACCAAGTAGCACTTTCTTAAAGACTTCTTGTCAAGACAAAACTTCAAAAAGCAATTTATTGTACATTTACAGCCTTTACTTTCACACAGGCTGCTGTGTGAGCTAGCTTACCTAACGACATTTTTGATGTGCAAAGAACAAGCCAAGTTGTTTGTAATTTGGATTAAGGACAACATACCGAATTGAAGACAAGTATGTCACCTTCAATCGTGTTCTTTACTTAAGTTTGGAATTAAAAAAACCCAAACAAAATGCTGTAAAAGATTTACTGTTTCTTGGTTTTATCTCCTGTTAAGTACAATAAATTCCTATGACAAACCTGTCCTCTGGATATTACATTGCAACTTAGCCATCGCTGTTTATCAAAACTGTTTAACAGTGCTGTGCTACATCTGTCAGGATATTTTTGATAACACGACATGTCAGTTCCTGATTTTAAGCAGCAATTGTGAGAAGCACAGACTACCACTCTGTCTCGTTGCACATGGAATTGATACCTGTTTCTGGAGGAAAACCACCTTAAATTTTACCACAGATTTGCTTGAATTGCCCTAGTGTTAACTATGTCTACATACTAGCTTAGCAAAAGGATTTAGCTAGTTATTTCCCCCCCAAAATAACATTGAAATTCACGTTGTTTAATAAAGTGAGCTAGATTCTGAGCAACTCAGATTGTCTGTAGACAGAGATAATCAGCTTCATTTACGAGTCCTAAATCTTTCTTTTCCATGGAACATCCAATTTATATTTGCTTATCTATCAAAAAAAGTTTGAGGCTGAACCATTTCATCTTTTAGTTTACTACATATTTTGAGTAATGACTTCCTAACCGGTGATAACGATCTTCCTTACTCCTCTGAATCCTCCCTACTGCAGCAAATGACCCCTTCCCATATACTATTTGGCCTAGAGATCACGACTTGCATTTATTTTCTTGTTCTACACTGCTCTTCCTCATTGTATTTCCCTGTAATCCAAAAGTCCTGAGGAAAATTGTTCCTTTCTAGCACTCATTTAAAAACATGCTTTGCCATGTAGGTCTAATAAATCTAATTAATACAATACTACTATATTTTGAAAATAAGTGATCCAAAGAAATGATAATACGGAAATTTCACCTCCAAACTGGGATCCAGTTTGCAATACTTTTCTGATGCCCTGAATCTCTTCCATCGCAGAGATTTGATTCTGCAAAGAGTACAAGACATCCAAATACTACCACACATTTGGACGCAGCCGTGTCCCCACCTCAGCGCTCGTGCCCTCCTTTTTACCCTCCTAACTCACCACAAATGCTCTGACTTGAGAGCCCAAGCTTCTGAAGTCATTACTGCTTCCTACCTGCCACCCCCTCCCCCACACATTGCACACATCTGCTGCCGCTTCCTCCTGTCACACTTTCTTGATGATGCTTTTGCAACTCATTAGCTACTAGCACCTACTACAAGCTTCCCTTAAGTTTCCTAAGACAATCTCCTCTTCTGTGTCTGAACAAGTCCTAGCTATAACTTCTAACAAATGGATTGAGCAACAAAGTCTTTCTTCAGCTTTAAGAGGAAAATATACCCAGGCCATAAAGCATGCGTGGTAACCCTAAAATCCTATGTTTCTACAGCAGAGGACAAACCCCAACACGAGTCTAGAGAATTAAGACAGATAATAGTTATGCCCTTTATCAGTGGAGGTTTTTATTCCAAGTTGGTTTATTTGTGTAATTACCATTCCACAGAAAATAGTGGACAGATAATCATGTCACCCTCACATACCTTAGAATCTTTTCCATAAGTCTTCTTCCAGGCAGAAGGTCTTAACAGGCAAGTAGAAAATTCCTTCCTTCCCCCAAAGATAAAAATCTTCCTGCCTAGCAAATTCACAGGTAGAACTTACCTTTTGGGGGGCAGGCAGGCAGAAGGGAGAGAATTCTTGCTTCCTTTAATACCGCTATCAATTCCAGAAAACACTATCTTGTAAAATGCTACCTAATTATAAATTTTTAGTTATACTAACTTCCATTATACAGAAGAATTTAAGCAGAAGAGTCACATTTAACTGGCTCTAAATTCCATTATGCTCCAAAATCTGTGAGCACAGTTACAGGAAAGCAACTGATGCAACAGAAGGAGAAAAGAAAATACAGAAAGTATTTATTACAAGTCTTATGAGGAGCAGCTGAGGGAACTGGGGTTGTTTAGTCTGGAGAAAAGGAGGCTGAGGGGAGACCTTATCGCTCCCTACAACTGCCTGAAAGGAGGTTGTAGCAAGGTGGGTGCTGGTCTCTTCTGTCAGGTGGCTGGAGATAGGACAAGAGAAAATGGCCTCAGGTTGTAGCAGGGCAGGTTTAGGTTGGATATTAGGAAAAATTTCTTTACTGAGAGGGTTGTCAGGCATTGGAACAGGCTGCCCAGGGAAGCGGTTGAGTCACCACTCCTGAAGGTATTCAAAAAGCACGTAGACAAGGCACTTCGGGACATGGTTTAGGGAGCATGGTTGATGGTTAGACTCAATGATCTTGAAGGTCTTCTCCAACCTAAATGATTCTATGATTCTATTTTCATGCACTTAAGGTACTGTCCTTTAAGTATCTTATGGCACAACAGAAGCGTCAATTCCAGACATCTTCCCACACCTGCTAGTTGTAATTCTGCAAAAGACTTGTAAGCATACATGTATTATTTAAGATGATAAAGACTACATGCTCTAAATAAACTACAGCAGTACAGGTAAAGCAGTAGTTTTTGGGGTAGATAACCCTAATCAGTTTTACTAATTTATTGAAATAACATTCTAGTTTTGTTTGTAGCATTAAGAAGTTATTTCAATTTAAAAAAAAACCTAGAAATTTCATATGCCAAGTAGCTCAATGGAAATAATTAACTGTCTTCGTAGACAATCTACAGTTCAGTACTCCCATTTAAAGTACCTGCATCCCATGTCAAATTACTGAAGGTTTTCCTTTAATTAAAACAATTACATACTGTAGTTGTTTTATGCTATTTGCATCTCAGTGCACAGTGACAGTAAACAAAGCTAACTTTAACCATCTGCAATAAAAAAAGGTTTTCTTCTAACATTTCGTAGCATGATTTCTCCAATGTAGTTTTAAGTTCACATGCGCAGTCAAAATCAAGAAGAATAAGAACTATTTCATGGATATGTGTTAGCTTCCTGTACTATCATGGGGTATCTTAAAACTTACCAAGAAATAAGACAGTCTCAGTTTATGTAGACTTAATTAATAAGAGACTGAAGGATTTGGATAGAGACTAATTTCTTACATTGATGAAGGGATACAATCAGATTCTGTGAGACATGGATTTATGATTATTTTGTTCAACTATAGCAGTAACAGCCACTAGGCTGTGCTTAAATTTAACTATATACAAGTGGACCGATAACAAGTTCAAATCACACTGGAAAGCAACAAGCCACATCTGCTCACTTAAGTTTACCACATCTTTAGTCACTTCTGTTGTCACTCAAAACGTTACAGTTCAGTATTTGAGATGAGTAACTGACAAGCTAAAGCCACTCACATGTAAGTCACAGTTAACAAAATTCTAGGCACCATTTCTGAACTGGCACAACTGTAAACAAACATATCCAAACACTTGGACAAATACATTCAACAGATTCATAAAGGCACACAGTTAGCAATTTCTCCAAAAGCTACCTACAAAATTTTATGCAAGAGATTGTCTTCCCCCCTCACTGTAGACCTTTAACAAACACCATTACATTCCTACAAAAGATGACTTAAGACACTGTATTCGTAGGTGATGTACAAATGTACCTTACAAGTGTGGTGGTGGTGGTGGGAAAATTACAGCCAGCATCACTACTACAGTGTAAGCTACCAAATGAAACGGTGATTTCACCAAAGCGAGAATACAACAAATAAAAAATTCTTTATGTAGCATGTTTACTTTTACTGTCTTTTGGCACTGACTAGCAGTATCTGACATGAGCTTGAAGCTGCATCTGTTTAAATACAGACGCATGTTAGGAGTCTTGGATTCCAAAGTACCAGTGGAAGTTAACATACAGCAGATCAAGCCATCAAATCTGAAACCCACTGAGTTGTAAGATTCTTCCTCAATATATTTTTTTCATAATGGATTTAAAAGGAGAATTCTTAAAGAGCTTTCATCTTAACTACTGAGCCTTACTTAGAAAGTGGCTAACCCATTCACTAGAGGGAGCTAAACTGTAATAATGAGTCAAATGAAGTAATCTTAAACTTCAATACAAATGCTGAAAGAAAAAAAAAAAAAAAATCAATGGAACTAGCTTGTGTTCTCAGAATTATTCTGCAATAAGTGTCATCAGAAAGTCACAGTAAGTTAAGATATTTCTCCTAAAAACGACACACAGGCCATGCATTACAATTTCTTAGCTTTTATTGAATACTTTTTTCTTTTTAAACAAAACCCTTTCTACAAAATAGCTCACCTCTCAATCAAAAAATGGACAGCTTTAGATAAATGTTTTGTCTCAAATGCAATATAGACTACATTTGAGAAAGGAAGAGAAAGAAAGGTTTACTTTATTAGTACAAATACAAGAATTTCTAGAGTTTCAAAAGAATACTATCCCACAAAACGCATAAAAAAATTCACATGCACCTTCGCCATCAGGTCAGTCTGAATGTTGAACGTCTATATGTATGGGGAAAAAATGTTAAGAATTCTGAATCCAGGAACTGGAAGAAAGTCAGGAGCACATGATTTAGTCGAGTTCTGCATCAACACTGTCTAGTCTGCCTTCCTTAGGGTTGACCCCAGTCTTATCATATAATAAGACTTCTGTAGCAAGTACTTATCTTTCAGATTAGCACTGCATTTCAAACAAATAATGATTAACACATGTTTAGAGACTTAGCCAAGATTCAAGACAAGGCAGCACTTCAGGTTACATTGCCAGGGAACTTAACAGGTACCCACCAGGAAGTTAAGATATCAAAAGTGCAACTCTCATTAATGCGATCATACTCTTCATAAAACAAGGCAGATCAATATCTAAGTTAGGAACCTGTACATCTACGCGTGACATAAGTTTACTCAGTATTTCCTGCTAAAGCAGGACTCCGAATTGTTCAGGTTCCTTCCAGAAACGTAGGTTTTATTGCTGAGCACACTGTGTTTCAGACGTTGGCTTAGAAGATACATACAACGTTGTATATTTTTTCTTTTGTGTTTTCTTCTCAGTTGTGATTTTATTTTCTTTCTTATCTTCTTTTTCTGTAGTTTCAAATCTGGATTCAGCTGTTAACCTACAGGCAAAGCAACCATTCTAAATACATATTTAGTTAATAAAAAACAGGGCTAAAATAAGAGTTTTAAGCAAAATCAACAAGCCAACTGGCATACAAGACCATCCATATGCAAAGACAGAGCAAGCAGTGTTTAAGAATGAGACTAAAATAAAGCGTTTTTATATTGGTCCTATTCACATTTCATCACTTAAAATATAGCCTTCCCCCGCACCCTGCCGCCCCCCCCCCCATCTGCTGAAATGTTTGGTAAACAAAGTTACTGAATGTGTTAACGAGTTGGGATCAGCCTTTAAAAAAAAAAGTGACTGTGTCATGCACACAGAGGTGATCAAGTCCACAAAAGCACAACTCCAAGTGAAAAGTCCCAGCAACATAATATAAACATGATGAAATCAAGCATTTTGCTTTAATGCCACCAAAGAAAGGACTACACTTAAAGCAATATACTAGTTTCCAACCTAGTTCTGCACTACTACTGCCTTAAGATAAAGGGCTGAATATCTGAAAAGTTGTTGTTGGAAAAAAATTCATTTTCAGGCTCTAAATTACATCATTTGTCCACTGACATGTGCAGTTCTGCTGTGAATGTAAATGGGAATACAACTGCCACATTGCTGTTAAAGAGATAACTTAGAACCAAGATTTAGGCATCTGAGCACAATCAAACGTTTTGATTATTTAAGAATTACTTAATAAATGTGCAAGTGTGTCATTAAAACAAATTAAATAGTGGTATTATTTAGTGACTATTACCAAATCACCCACAACCAGTTGACTGTTACACATGATTACTTCCACAGCAAACCAAATTATGGAAAGTGAAGTTCCAAATTGAACATAGCCTTACATACCAACACAAATTCTATACTGATTCATCACCACATCTGTTAAAGCAATTCTGTAGTGACCTTGTGGATTTCTAGTGGTCTCAAGAGCCTCCAGTGAGCAACCCACAACAATCAACAGCTGCTTTCAATCATGGGTTTCCAAACAAGAATAGCTGCTACCCAGTTGTTAGAGATTAATTTGCAATATAGAGCTGAAGATGAGGACTATGAAAGGAGCTGTAACAATGAGAATGTTCATGAGAAACATCATATTGTTTCACAAAAGTAAAAACAACTATTAGAATTTATTTGAAGAGAGAAAAAAAATCATATTTTTATGCTTCAAATGCACACTAAAGTGTTTATGCAAGTCACCATAAAGTAAGCTAACTTTGTCAGACTAGAGCTATGTTAATAAATACCTTAAGTAATTTATCAGAGGACTGACACTGACTTATGAAGGTAAAAATGAATGAGCCATTTAATGTCTAAGCTACACTTTTAAGTTAGCTACAGCTTTTATCTGGATCAGCAATAGATTGCCATAATTTGCTTCACTTAGGAAAACCTTAATTTATGGCCATGACGTATTCGGAAATGCCTGAAGATTTGAATAATTGAGCTTTAATGTGACAATGAACAGACAGTCCGAACAAAATAAATTTTTCCTCTTTCATTCTTAGCGTCTTAGAGTTAGCCTGCAAATGCTTCAGGACTGATTATATTATGGCCTACAAGTTGTTGAACCATGCTTGCATTACTATACTGAATTAAATTTTTTTGAAAAATACACATTTTACTAGTGTGTAATAGATCATGTCTCCAGGCTGCTACATGTAACAAGAAAAAGAATAAATGAATCAGTTAACAGATTCCAAAGTTAATCGCTGAGCATCATGTTCTGAAATTGTCTCACGGAGTTCAAAAATCAGCCAGTCCCTTTTTTAATTCTTTTCTACCAACCTTCTTGATAACGAAGAAGTTGCAGAGACCCAGTGTTATGAACTAACTGCAACCTCCATTCCCCATCCCCCCCTGTACCACTTGGTGAGGAGGAGGTAGAAGTTGGGAATGAAGGAGTAGAGTTGAGCCTGGGAAGAAGCCTGGGCAGTAGGGGCAAGGTGGTTTTCTTTTTGTCACTGTTCCACTATTTTTAATTGACAATGAGTTAATCTTCCCCAAGTCAAGCATGTTTTGCTTATTTGATCCCTCTCTTTATCTCAACCCACAAGCTTTTTCCATCTTATTTTCTGCCCCATCCTGTTGAAGAGGGGCAGTGAGAGCAGCTGGGTGGGCATCTGGCAGCAAGCCAAAGTTAACCCACCACAGCCCTCATACCAAGCCAGTTCACAGACCACCCCTTACCACCATTGTCATATTTCACAAAGTGTTAGCACAGGGAAATGGATGGATCAGAAAGAAGGGACAACAGTTAAACACTTCCACTTAAGAAAAAAAAAAAGCAAGCTTGTGAAAATATGACAAAATTCTATCAAGCTTTGACTTTGTAGACTCCAAAACCAAAATGTAATGGGGGTTCTTTACACCCATTTAAGGAAGATCAACTAGTTCCATCAGATGGAGCTTTACTCCCTGAGGATGAATGCCATGCATAAAACACCAAAGAGAGTATTAGTTATCCAGATCTCCTGCTGAGCCAAATGGCTATAGGCATTTGAACAAAGTCCAAATGAGGTAGATTTGGTATACATAATCCAACTAAATAATTTAAAAGAGCAAATAAGCTCTTAGGCACACAAGCCCTTCTTTAGATCAAACTAAAACAATCTCAAATCTAAATGCAAACTAAGTTGGGCAGCAAGGGCTGGAATTTGCCGTTTCAGTTTCAGAAGTGAAGAACAGCATTTCAATAAAGAAGTTTATCTTTTTATTGACCAGTTGGCCTAACAAAAGATACCACTACATAAAACCTTTGCATTGCCTGAATTACAATAGTAACTAATAATAACTTAGATAGTTAAATCTTTAGTCTCAGCTAGTATATTCTGAACACTCACATGCCATAACCAAATCAGTACCATCACCTAATAAAGTATCCCAATGTTTACTTGCTTTAAACTTCTGTAAGCATACACACATGTGCTGCAGATATGTACACATGCTATTAGTTCAAAGTTACCTAGCTTTACCTTGCTAAATCACATCAGCAAGCAAGACTCTTCAAACAAGGAGGTTTGTCACCCATGTAAGTATGTACAGATCACTTCTGACCACTTCTTCTTTGCCTCCTAAACTAAGATGACAAAGCTTTTCAAACACCATTTTCTAGAAATTAAGTTTGCAGTCCTTTCACAGTTACTATGGCTCTTTTCACTGCCACATTTCATGGACCAATAATGACAAAGCTAGACTAATTATTTCACAAAAGCTACTCCAGTTACAAAAATAACCCCCAATGACCACAATAGCCTTTTCAGCTGGAGAATCACATTTTACTTAGCACAAGGTGAAAGACTGACAACTATCCACCATGCACATGCCAATTATTTTTATCTCCTCCAAACTCTCCATTTTCAGGTCCACATTCCTGCTCAAGGTGACAATATTTTTTTGTGCCTTTGCATTTAGCTGTATTCCTACGTAGGGTTTGGCCACATCCATCACAGAACTGTCCAGAGATTCTTTTAGTGTTTATAAATCTAACCTCTCAAATAATCAGATTTTATCATGACTTCCTATTTCATAATAAGTCATAACAGATCAGGGTTATGTAAATCCTCAGTAGTATCTTAACAACATTAATTGGGGATTTAGTAGTTCATAAACACAATCAGAAACATGAACAGAACCTTATGCCTGGATTTGCCTTTTACAGGTTCGTAGCACCATTGAAAACAACTTAAAAGCTTACACAGAGTTTCGTGGCGGTTTTTTAGTTGTTGGGTTGGTGGTTTTTATTTTTTAAAATCTACTGATTTATGTTTTGTTCCTTATTTGAAACAACAACGATGGGTGCAAGATTAGAACCCTCCCTCTGAACTATGACTTCATCTTCCTCTTCCACTTTTTCCAGTCACTCTGCTTTCAAACATCAACTTCATAAAATAATTTCCTCTCCTCACCCCCTCTCTGGTAGGTTTACCCCTTCACAGTTCACAAACTGCTTCCAATAAATTCCTGTTGGAAGACCCCGTATCTTCCTTTCCAAAGAAATATGAGGAAATAAGTTAAACTATTCACATGCAGGTTACATGCTATCTGTTCTCCTTTATGTGTACAGAACACTGTCAAAACACAATACCATCACTAAATTATCCAATCTTTCCTCTCAACGTTCACCACCCACATTTGACCTCCCTGGTCTTTCCTTCTCAGGAACCATCCCTGCATACTTTGACATAGCTACTTAAACTACTATTTCTGCCATATTCTTTCCAGACTGTTTCAGAACGTTGTACTGTTTGGTTACTTTAAATCTGTTAATCGCATCCAACACAACCTTGAGTAATTGATCTGAGAGTCAAAACATCATCCAGGTACTTCTGAATGCCATTAGTTTTGGATATACTATACAGATTTCCATGCGTTAGGCCTTCCTCCATCTTTGAAGCTGCTATCATTCTAAATTCAATAAACTATTTTTACTAGCAGACATTAGCAAGTTGTAAGCTCAAAACACCTAGACTATCCCAGATTTTTTTCTTCTCCCCCCAAATACTCAAACGTGTTTATGAAGATTATGAGTATGAACAGAATACAAAGCATCAGTTGGGGAAAAAAAACTGCATTCCATTTACCAAGATAAAAAAGTTGGAGCTAATTTCTGTTCTAACTTACTTTACCATCTATCAAAAAGTAACTTAAATTCTAAGTTCAGGGGAAAAACTTGATCATAGTTTAGCAGTTGTGTTTCTAGTTATCATGCATCCAGATTATGGAGGTCAGTTGTCTGACAACACAAATAGCATAATTAATTGTCTATTCTTTTGTACAATGCAAGTTCTGTTAACCCAATTCAGGTTAATAATTACTTAAATAATTTTTAGGCTTTTAGCTAAATCTGAAAGTTGATGAGGGCTGAAATTAGGTATGAAACTGAAGCATGATACCTACTGCCTTTGTTACTTTGGTATGTAACACAGGTGCATGGCAGCTTTGAAGGGACCAAGAAAACAGTGCTATTTCTGAAGCCAGAGCAAACCGAGTGAGCTGTCATGCTATCTGCCCACCTTAAACATTTTCCAGTACTGGGAAAGTTATTTCAAAGATTGTTACAGTTTCAAGAGTCTTTTTCATTAGTCATCATCTTAGTCTTTCTAAAAGGTATTGAGGGGTTCAACGTAGGCAGTCGGAGCTGAGGAATTACACTGCATGCAACACTGAGGAAATAGATAAAGAAGTGGATAGCATAGTTCATGCAGCGAAAGAAAAGAGATGCAGGTCTGTGCTCATTGCCTTGACCATAGACAGAAGCTGACACTGACCTGGGGGCAGCTGAAGTCAAGGAATTACTTCCACTTCTGCTATACGAAGTAAAGGCATCATGATTCTCATCTTTAGTTTTAACTCTCTTTCTTTCTCTTTCAGGTTCAACTACTTTTTGCATTGCTTGAAGAGCTATATTTATTGGTGGTGCTTCAAGAGCATGTTTTTTTGGAGAAGCATCACTTGGCTCCAAGTTCTTGGAATTCATCTTTGTTTCTTCCTTACTTGGCAATTGAGCAAGAACGGCTTCTTTTACTGAAGTATTTTTGCTGTCTAAGTTTTCAGAAGTAGTGTCCACTGGAATCTTCTCCCTCTTCTTTTTAATTTTGGTGCCTTTAAGTAATTCTAGGAAAAAAAGAATATGCTTTTTTGTACACAAGTGAAGCTGGAGTTAACTTGTCCACCAACATTTTCATATTAAAACTAATAAAGAACATATCACATGACTAAAAACCTTGGAATAATTCTTAACAGACAACTTACATCCCTTAAAGAATGTCCCTTCGCATAATCTGTTATCAGCAAGTAACCGTTGCAATAGAAGTTCGCTTAAAAAAGAGACAAAAAACCCCCCACAACTTTCTCCCCATCCACTCTACCTTTTTACCAAGGCTTTTAATTAGATGCTCTGAACAACATGAGTATGCTAAATTGTTTTATCTCAATTTTGGAGACTGCTGAGGTAAGCTTCCACAACAAAGATTTTAAAATTAAATCCTTTGGGTATGCACAAGTACCAAAACCAATTTACCCATCTGGTTCCCCATTCATCTTCCTCCACAGGCTACAGCTCCCTTGTTTCTGCACATACCCAGGTATATCAGCTGTTTTTCAGGGGGGCCTCTGCTGTCAAAACTTAATCCGTACTGACTTGAGCTACTAAACAGTTTTTCCTCTAAATGCTTTGCCCTTATTTATTACAAAGCTCATCAGCTGCCTACATTCAGAAAGCTGATACTTCTCATCAACAGAGAGATATTGCTACTATTATGAAAAACACCTCCTAAGAATTTGTTCCCACCTACTTCACTATGGTTATCTAACTATACTCTGTAAGGTCTCTAAACACTGTAATTTGTACTCTTCAGCCTTCTGAAATTAGTGTTAGTATACATGTTGAGGTAAGGTTGCTGAGCAAGGTAGGGCTTTACTATTTCAGTTCAGCAGTTTTTGGACCAGGTTATCACCAAAAAGGCAGCTGTTTAAACATTAGTTTACACCTGGAACTAACCCCATGTCTTCCTGTTTAATGTCATTCAACTTGTGAAGGCTGAGAAGACCAGATTATTCCTCGCCCCCTGCCCCCAAAAGTAGTATTTACCTTCAGGTTCATATTTCATTTTCAGCTCATCCAGCATAACTCGCAAGTTCATATTCTCACTCTGACAAGCTTGCAAATGCCTCTCATTTGTGAAGAGTTTCCTTTCAACTTCCAGAACCCTTTGGCTCTCATACAGAGCTTTCATCCTCTGCAAGGATAGTTCATTTTTCAAGGTTTCAGTTTCCTTGCTGGGGTGGGAGAAAAGTTATACAGTCACTCAGACTTGGTTTCTTTCCCCCCACCTCCCAGTAAAACAGCAGATAAAGTCAACTAAGCATTCAGTGACTACACATAAAATTTGTATTTATACACTAGTAAGAAATGAAAGAGACCTCTTCCAGTACAATGTAAGTTTTCACTTCAACTTGACATAGAGCAGTGAGTTTAGTTACCAGAGATAGAATGCCTGTTAAAAACAAAGCTGTATGCTGAACAAGGCACACATGCATCCATAACTGGTAAGAAACCTTCCCTGACCTACAAATTTGCTATTTCATTGGGGTTTTCTAGCCTGTGTATAAATTAATATGTCTATTTCTATAACTGACGATACAAGCTTTACACAAAGGTGATACTCTAAGCAACCAACACAAAAATAATTATGTTAATAGTCAGTGCATGTCCTTGCCTCTGTTTCAGAGACCATTAACTTCCACATCATAAGCACTGAATCACCATTCCTCAGTGATCCTAAGGTACTCTGATCATGCCAGTTTCTCATAATAGCAACAGCAGTGAAGTGACAGACTTCTCAGGAATTCCTGCAGCAGACCATTTGTGTTGCCTCCTGCTGGCAACACTTTCATCTGACAGCTTAAAAACAGTTCTGAGGCCAAACACTATGAAATTTCTAACTAACAGATATGGAATTCACTAGCCAAAGAACACAACTTGGTGTGTCCAAATAGGACATTTCAAGTGTTATTATCTGACTCTTAGAAGAGAAATAAATTTATACAGCCTATAGACTTTAAGAAGCTTCATACAGACCCCTTACAGGTTAATTTTTAATGATTTTTTTTTTTTTAAGTTCTAAATTATCTTGTATCTAGGAGCATTAACAACATTTCTAGGAGAAAGCAACAATATAAAATATTTCTGGTGCTATCTTTTGCAACAATAAGTAACATGACAAACAAAACAACTCTCAGTCCTATAACAAAGACAGGATGGTTCCACAGCATTAGAAAATGTGACAATGAGCATATTTCCACATACAGTTAATGGAATATATACTGTATTGGGTTTGTGTGGCAAGGTTTTTGTAGGAGGGGGGGTTACAGGGGTGGCTTCTGTGCGAAGCTGCTGAAGGCTTCCCGTGTCCAACAGAGCCCATACCAGCCGGCTCCAAGACAGACCCACCACCAGCCAAGGCTGAGCCCACCAACAATAGTGGTAATGCCTCTGTGATAACAGATTTAAGAACGGAAAAAAAGTTGCAGCAGGCAGAGAAACGGCAGCCGGAGAGAGGAGTGAGAACATGTAAGAGAAACAACCCTGCAGACCCCCAGGTCAGCGAAGAAGGAGGGGGAGGAGATGCTCCAGGCGCCGGAGCAGAGATTCCTGTGCAGCCCGTGGGGAAGACCATGGTGAGGCAGGCTGTCCCCCTGCAGTCCATGGAGGTCCACGGTGGAGTAGATCTCCACCTGCAGCCCGGGGAAGACCCCACGCCTGAGCAGGTGGGTGCCCAAAGGAGGCTGTCACCCCCTGGGAAGCCCACACTGGAGCAGGCTCCTGGCAGGACCTGCGGATCTGTGGAGAGAGGAGCCCACGGAGCAGGTTTTCTGGCAGGACTTGTGACTCCACGGAGGACCAACACTGGAGCAGTGTGCTCCTGAAGGACTGCACACCATGAAAGGGACCCACACTGGAGCAGTTCATGAAGAACTGCAGCCCGTGGGAAGGACCCACGCTGGAGAAGTTCGTGGAGGACTGTCTCCCATGGGAGGGACCCCATGCTGGAGCAGGGGAAGAGTGTGAGGAGTCCTGCCCCTGAGGAGAATGAAGCAGCAGAGGCAACATGTGATGAACTGACTGTAAACCCCATCCCTGTCCCCTTGCGCCACTGGGGTGGGTAGGTAGAGAATCCAGGAGTGAAGCTGTGCCTGGGAGGAAGGAGGGGTGGAGGGAAGGTGTTTTGAGATTTGGTTTTATTTCTCATTACCCTACTCTGCTTGACTGGCAATAAATTAAGTTAATTTTCCCCAAGTTGAGTCTGTTTTGCCTGTGATAGTAATTGGTTGAGTGATCTCTCCCTGTCCTTATCTTGACCCACGAGCCCTTTGTTATATTTTTTTTCTCTCCCCTCTCCAGCTGAGGTGTGGGGAGTGATAGAACAGCTTTGGTGGGCACTTGACATCCAGCCAGGGTCAACTCACCACACATACAAACAGTAACAAAAAAAAAGGAAGAATAAAAGCAAGTAGCTAGAAGATAACCAGACTACAACCAACTTCTAGGCCTCAGACCATTAAGTGCTTACTTTGAGTTGTCAAGTTTCATTTGCAGTAAATCTGCATAGTAACCATCTTCAGACTCTCCTCCTTTTGAGCTACTACTACCTCTGGATTCTTCCATATTCTCATATAAAGTCTGATAAAGAAAAAATGTCAGGTTGTCAAATAGTGACCTTTCAGAAGCACATTAGCTTAGTCCTTAGGTGAAATTTTCCATGCACTTCTATGGAGAAGCCTCACTGTAGAGGCATTTAAACATACAAGAGAGCTCAGTTGCTGAGTACTTCCTCATTTGTTACAAATGTCAAATAGCACTGAAACTGACAGTTCTCTCTCATTCATTGAAAGAAAAAAAAAAGCAAGTTCTCAACTCCAGAAGGTTTTCAAATAGCAATGCAGAACAGTTATCTTAGTTTTACTTGAAAACACAGGATATTTAGTTAACCCAGAAGGAATTTGTTTCAGCCTTTATTTCTAGGATTCAGCAGCTGGACCCCAAAGGAATACAAGCCATGTTAATCGGTAGCCAAAATCTCAAGATCAATTACATCTTTTAGATTAGGAAGTTGGTTCATAGTGAAGATGCCATAAACGCAGTAAACTTTCTATAAAATACATCAGTAGCATGTGACATTCTGGGTTTTTTGTTCTGTGTTTTTTCTGAACAAGCAACACTCAGATTTAATACTGTCACACAGATCTCATAGGCTTCTGTCAGTAACTTGACTACAGGTAGTTTTGATGGTTATTTAAATCAATCATTTAATTTCATGACACTACTTATTTATGGCATAGAGACAGAAATAAATACTGATCAAGCTTATACATGACAAAACTAGTAAAGCAATCAAGCCGTCTCAATTGCTTACTAAAATGGGTTAAGCCTAGCTTTATGCCACTTCGGTTAAATGCAGAATAGAGGATGCTATCCTGGAAAGCATAATCCTAATGCATAAGCTAATACACCCAAGTTTACATTCCAAAGCTGTGATAAGAAACGGCTAAACAAGTCCACAAGTAAGAAAGGCTACAGTTTTTCACTCTGTATACGCACAAAAAAACATCAGTGACATTACAATAGTGCATACAGGTGTTCTCATGTATTTCTCACCTTCCCAAAATATTGACAAGATACTATCAAGTTGCATAAAAGGACTGAAGAAATTGTTTTACAAGGATGATTAAGCAATTCCGTTTTTCTAGAAAAGAGCATGCTTCAACTGCAAAGTTAAGATATATTAAGGAAATAAATATCCAAGCAATCCAATATAGCTGAGACTAAAAAGCAATAAAGCCTACACACAGGAAAAACATGAAATGCTTATGTCTTCCAAGAGGAAAAGAACCAAACCAAAACAAAAAACAGCAGATGTCATAGCTCAATGACCTTTGACCAAGTAACTGAATTTAAACACTACAGGCAACTATGAAAAATATGAATGTGCTACACACAGGAACCCAGAAAAGATTGTTTCTCCAAACCGAGGCTTGGGTGGTGTAGAATTTTCTGCTTCTCTCAACTTCACAGGTATGTGATCTCCAGCTATAAAATGGAACTTTGGTCAAGTAAAGCTATGAGTAGCCTTTGGATCCCTTTTCAATCCCGAGCATGGGCTTCAGATCATTTTCATAATTCTTATTATCATGTTTTAGCTTCTGATTATGACTTTTCCACTTAATTACAGACCACATACCTTAAATTTTTCTAGCTGCCTCACTTTCATAAGAAGATCTTCTATCTCACCATTCTTTTGTTCTAACATTGACTGTAAACGTTCCAGCTGCTCAAATTCTGCCTGAGAGCCTTTCATCTGTAGCAGTGTAGCCATTTGTAGCTAGGGAAAAAAAAAAAAAAAAAAAAAAAAATCTTTACAACAAATACTGGGTTAAGTGACTGAAAATCTCAGCTTCTTACCCAGAGGAGTTAGGGTACTTAAGCCTTGTAATTCTAATCCTGAATATTAGAAGTGCACTGGATGCTTAAACTCAGTAGGCTTCACAATTATTACCATAGGTTGGCACTAAAAATCTTTAGGACAGCTTAAAACTTACTGAACAGAGTAGTCCTGAGGTGCCATATCTTTCTCTGTACTGACTAAGGAACCTATAAATATACTGTTAAGGACACACACCATATTTCATATTCAAATACTAATCACTAAGTCAGCTAGAACCAAACTACAGTCCAGGCTTGTTTATCAGAGCTAAAATGCATCTATCGAGAACTTCTCACTTGGGAAGAAACACTCTAGTTCATCAACAAGTTTAAAACCTCATTTTTTGCAGTTCTGATTCTGAGGTATAGATAATACTAAGTTTGCCTTCTGTAATATTAATCCAAGAATTTCAGCTGCTTCTACTCCTTCTGTGGAATGCATCCTTTCAAGCAAAGGAAACACCCTTTGCCACTACAAAAGGAGAAGTTTATCAAAGAAAAATCTTGCATTTATAGAAGACTTTTCTGATGCTGTTAACATAATAATATCATAGCATGACAGCCTTAACACATTCAGTTAAGTGATACATCAGACATTTAAACAACTGGAGAACAATATGCAATGCAATAATGGAAAGACTTAACAGGGTGTTAGTGATAACTGTAGCATTTTTACCAGCCTGGTCATTATGGATAAGGTAACACTTACAGGACACCTGGAAAAATCACAGGGAAAGAATCAACGGAAACAAACAAGACTACAGATTAACAGAGAAAGGTAAAGAAGAGCTTTTACCCTACAGAATCTCCTACGTCAAGTAAAGGATATTCATGATTCTGTACACAAACTAGAGCTAAAGAAAGATTCAATCATGTCCTCCTCATAGCTTCTACAGGACATAAGGGAGGCAAAATTTTAACCCCCACTGGCTGACTAAAACTACCCTTACATTTTCTAAGCACATAGGCACCTAACCTTTTCCCCCTTCACTTAAAAGCCCACTTGCTAACTGTCAGAATTGCAAACTACAGTTGATCTACATAAAAAACAAAGAACAGAAACATTAAGAAACTGGAAGGGATACTGTGGGTTGTGGAAAATACACCAGACACGGTAAAACTTTCACAGGAGTACTGCTTACATTCTGTTCAGGAGTCAGATCTTCAGAAGTAAACACCAATATTGGTATTGGAAAAAATTTTATAGGGACAAATGAGTAAAAATTGAAATTCCAAGTTAAAACATTAAGTAGTAGAACAGGGTTACCAATTTGCCTCAGTTTTTGGTGAAAATCTTCAGCGTTAGGAATGTTTCTTATACCATTCAATCAGTATGACTGACTTAACCTCACATTACAAGGGGAAAATTTCTGAAGAAACTGATCTTATTCAACCATTTTACTCACTCAAAACTTTAGCTCTCAGGGTCAGATTTCAGTAAAAGAGCATTCCTTTCCTGCATTAGTAGTTCTTTTGTTGTCCTTTAAGAATGTTGTTTCAATTACTGTCAACCTACTTCTCCACAAAAGCTAGGTAACAGAAACCTGTATCTTCAGCATTACTAATTATCATCACTCTTGATGTTTAAGTACTTTCATCAAACTGCACAATCAAGAATTTGATCCAAATGAAAGGATCCACTCTTGTGTTGGAAAATCAAAAGACCAACATGAAAACAGTTGGCAGTTTTGCAGCATCCCCTTTACATTACCTTGTAAATCAGCTTCTGTTAACCAGTTCTCAACAGTATTAACCAGCAGGGTCCCATCCAATAGAACTGTAGTCTAATTAAATAGTTATGACAAAAGTTATCATACAATGGTTTGGGTTGGAAGGGACCTTAAAGATCATCCAGTTCCAACCCCCCTGCCACAGGCAGGGACACCTTCCACTAGACCAGATTGCCCAAAGCCCCATCCAACCTGGCCTGCAACGCTGCCAGGGATGGGGCACCCACAGCCTCTCTGGGCAACCTGTTCCAGTGCCTCACCACCCTCACAGTAAAGAACTGCCTTATATCTAATCTAAATTTACCCTCTTGCAGTTTAATGCCATTACTCCTTGTCCTATCACTACAAGCCCTTGCAAGAAGTCTCTCTCTGGCTGTCTTGTAGACCCCCTTTAGGTACTTATGACTTATTCTTTCACTAAAGATACAGAAAAGCAAGAAAATATGGACAAACGTAAAAACATGAAAGCAACCCAGAGGAGACGAAAAACCCATGTGATCAGAGGACGGAGTACTGCCCTTTTCTTTACATTCATTCCTGACAACCACAGTTAATACACAAATAAATGATTCGCGTAGTATGAGAATTAGATAAGAAAAGACAAAGCCATTGTCAGGACAAACTGAATACTAGTTCGACCAACAGGAGTTGTGTTTTACTTTTTTCCATTTAACAACTACTGCCAAAGTAAGCAAATGTAGTGCCTTCAGCATAACTTGTAGTTCTAAGATGAAGTAGTAGCACTAGAAAAATGCTGATGTACCATAAAAGTCAAATAACATTATGACATCTCATTTGTTTTTTCTCCCATTTCCCTCCCCCCAGACTACTGTATCATATTTTAAAGATAATCAAATCCCCTAGCCTGTGTACTAAAGCATTGCCTTATCAGACCCCAAGGAAACCCTGGAGTATTACAGTAATGGTCATACCTTCATTCTTTGCAATTGTTCTCTAGTGAATGCATGCTGTTTTTGTAGTGACTGATATTTTATTTTCACACTGATCAGCTGTCGTTCCATTTCTGCCCTACGGTCCTCCACCTACAGAACATTGTTAACAATTATTATGAAAATTAAAACGCTTGTTGTCACTTGGATGATGAGTTTTACAAGGAGAAGTTGCCTAGCAATTGATGTTGCTTCTGCAAATACTGCTTTTCCAGCAACAGTACTTGAAAAATACACACTATTGTCATTACCTCTGGGATAAAAGCGAGTAGACAGTGCTGCAGCAGCCGAAGCCCAATCAGTAAAGTGCAACAGATTTTTTTTTCTTTTGATATCAAAATAAAGTAATATTTCATATGCTTCAGTGTTGCTATAGAATAGTTTTGTCCATTTGCATCAGAACAAATATTAAAAAAAACCCAAACCAACTGTGTACCAATGTAACCCATTCCCCAGGCATTGTCAGAAAACAAAGTAACTTCCTATGCATTTAACAGCAGCTGAACTCTTACTCAAAAAGTAATTCAAAAACCCTCCCAAATGCTCAACCATCCAGCCATTTTCAAAAGACAGCTTTTATCAGCATCTTTTAACATTTCACATAATATCTTCTGCATTAAAGAAGGCTTACCAGCTGAACAAAACTACTTAGAGCTAAGAGCTGCAGACAGAACTGTAATGAACTCTCAGTCCCATCTTCTATCTTGATAGCTAGGCAACTTTAAGTGATTGCATTAAGTTCACTAACTCCTCAACTTCAGAGCGTGCATAATGTTAGCTTTCCATAGGTCAGTTCCTAGACAGTACAACACTGAAGTAGTGTTTGAGGAATAGAGATTAATGGTGGCCAGATCAGGTGCAGATACCCTAATATTTTCCGTGCAATATAAGAAATAAAACTTAGGAAATATTTCTTCTCTCCTCTGTATATTCTCAGGTATCTGTGGCATAATTGTACCTCAGCAAAGAGAGAATTGCCTTTACTTGTAGGGTCCAAAGATTGTTGCACTGCATGATCCAGCTGAACCTGAAGCTCCTGATTAGCTTCACGAGCTTTCTAGATTAAAGCAAAGAGGATATTAGTCACTTAAGCATCTGATGTACTGCATATATGAATTTAATCAGGTAGTTTTACCTCTTTCATTTCTTATGCCTTTAGCGCAGATTATATTGTACTGCAGTCTTTAACTGCGCATACAGTTCTAGTCAGTAAGAGACAAATTTTGTTTCACTAAAAGGCTTAATATCATACTTATTCTTCAGGACAAGAGCACAACTAAAACCTTTAAAGGAAAACTTTTAGGTTTATCAAGTAGATTAACGGTATTGAAACTATTAGCCTTACTGTGTTATTTAGTCACAAATCTTCCACTCCCCAGTACAAAATTTTCCAAAGCATTCAGCAGGAACTTGAAATAAAAGTGAGAATTATATCAGTGACCTGTGAGAAGGTCCTGTTAAGAGGCAGAATACTGCAGTGCAAAGGATCTCCATACACACCTTTCCACAAAAGAATGCCCATATAGAGAGTATTTAGCATCTGTCCCCTTCTGCCTTATCTTTTTCCCCTCCCTCATCAGAACTTCTCTCAAAACTCCTCATATTTCACTGAAAAGCTAGCACTGCAACTTGTGGAATTCAGGGCCTTATCTACCACTGGTGAATAAAATTAAGAGAATACCTCTAATGCATTAGAGTAAGAAACAACTTCTTTTTCCCTCTCTTCTTTTTCTCCCTGTAGACGCTCCAGCTGATTACGTAAATTACTGTTTATGAGTTCTAATTGTTCTTTACTGTACTGCAGTTCATTCAGCTTTTCTTCAACATTGGCCTAAACAAACAAAAGTAGTATGAAATAAGCAGTTTTTAAAACAATTTGAAGAAAAGCAGGCCCAAATGAACCAGATTTGTTAGTAGTAATTACTTCTAATACAAAATATTATCTTGAAGAAGAAGTCACATTAAAGTCTAATTATTGAGGCTATTATTTTTTCTGTGCATATTGTCTTAATATTAAGCCAATCATAAGGTAGCAATGTACACAAAGCATCTAAAAATGAAATGAGCAAAAGCACAGAATTTTATCTTCAACTAGTCTACATTCCTGATAATTAAGTACTAGTCACACACCTTCACACTTTCTAGTTCAGTGAGTTCTATCTGAAGATTGAGCATTTCTGAAGACATGGTCTCATGTACACGTTCAGACATCATATGTAGTTCTTCCGATTTGGCAGCAATTATTTCCTTCTGATGATCCACTTTGTGTCTTAATTGTTTTTCTGAGAGCCGGGTTTCATCTAGTTCTGCTTTTAGGTTCTCCAACTTAAAGACAGTTGAGAAGTAAATAGTACCATTTTATAACAAATTCTTGAAGAGAACAATACTTTTGACTCTGTTCTAATTACAGAAAATGCCTTAGAAATACAACTTAAAGAGTAAACTTTTAAAAATAAGCTTTGAAATTTAATATAAAAACCAACCAAACAAGCTCCTACACATTGTAACTATTTACTAGATTTGTTCTGGTAGCAAGTGTGCAATTAGGAGTCAAATACATAGTCTTTAAAATGCTACTAGCAACATTTTAGCTGTATATTAGTTGCCAAACCTTGTTTTTAAGGTCACTGATTTCTTGTCCATAGACTCTGGCAAGCTGTTCTTTCTGTTTATCCAGTTGCATGTTTTGCTGTTGCTTAAGGGAATCACATTCAAAACTCAAGCTTTCCAACATTCGATTCTTGAGTTCAATTTCTCTCTGAAGAGAGTATTTCTCTTGTTCAAATTTCTGGAAAAAACAACATACTAATAAATCTAGACGTAATATTCATAAGTGTTTGGGGAACAATGTACTAAATACATGCTCAGAACCAAGACACTAAATGCCTAAAACTTGAAGCTCATTCAACACTTTGTTGAAGCCCCAATTAGGGAATTGACATACCCGTGTTTTGAAAAACAAATAAATAAAAAAACCCCAAACTGCTCTGAAATGTTATGACTTATTTGATTATGTAATATCCTCTTCTTCATGGAAGCTGTATATTGCTTTGCAGCCAACATGAAGGGTGTGGGCATCTTTTCTGCAAGCGTAACAAAGAAATTTAGTGAGAGCTTACATGTCCTTTCTACCACAATGGAACCCGATTATGTTTAAAAAATGTTACGGTCCATGAAGTATTCCCCTACTGCAGAACAGCTGGGTTCAATGTTTGGTAAAGACATCTAAATTGTCTACTGTTTTGTAATAAATCCCATGAACCCTTCCAGACTGAAGAATGACTTTTTAATCACCTTCCCTCTACGCCTGACTCTATATATTTGCTAATTATAAAAGGCAGCTTCATTTTACACTTCCATTCAGCTAGCAATTACGGAGAAGAAAAAAAAATTAAAAAAACCAGGAGAGTCTTGAAAGCAGAAGTAGTAAATAGCAAAACCAAACCAGTCTAAAGATGCAGGATTTTCTTTTTATTTTTTTCCTCAGTAACATAACTCTTAGAACACAAACCAGAATTTAAAAAAAGGAACATAAAACTAAAAGCTGTCAGGTATGAAATTGACCTCTATGGCCTACACACCAGCTTATCAAGGACAGTCTCAGCTCTCAAATATACAGGACAAGAATTGTAACTCAAAAGATAAAGACAGTGCACGGAAAAGGTTTGTGAATGCACTGCTGGCCAGACCCAAGAAAGGCAAAAATCTAGCATGATATGTCTACACAGACTTTTACAGAAGCATACAGAGATTTTTCTGAAAGACTTTTGTGCCTACTGTTAAAACTTACACTTGTGTTCACAGTAATTGCTTTGGCTCTCGGATTCCAAAGAAGAGAACCACAGACTCAAAAACTCAAAAGAATCTGTTGGATAACCACAGTTCCCACACAAGATGTTATTCTACTGTATGAACGCACACAACTCTTTCTCTCTGCCCTTGGAAACTAAGTCACTATTGATCTGGTTCACACAAGCTTAGTTCATAACTTTGCTCCAGCCTATAAGATAAGATTACAACCTATGGATGCAGCTTCACAACACAGTAACTACCATGTCAGGTTGTCTGCCGAAAAGGATGATCCTGCTCTGCTTTCCTTATCACTTGTGCTTTCCAGCTGCCCCTCTTGCACTAAGCTTACTACCAGTAAACTGTTCAAATTAAGTTACTAGGATTCATTCAGAATAGCAGGGTGCTACAACTCTCCAGCTGGTAAAAAAAAAACCAAAACCAAAAAAACCCCACAAACAAAACCCCACAAAACTACAATAAGGCCACAAATATTTCAACCCTATCACAAGAGAAGGGATGGATGCACAGCCAGAAACAGACTAAATGAAGACAAATGGTATATCTGAAGCATGGGCTGACTGAAAACAAACAAACATGAAAATTAAAGCGTTTATGAAAAGTGGAAGATTTTCCTGACTGGAATTTTCTTGCGTGATTCCTAAGAAAACGGGTTGATTAAACAATACCTCTATTTCAACACTACACTACTCTCTTTCCTGAGCTGTAAAGAACTACTACTAAATTCAGAATCCCTTGGTATTTAGAAAATTTGAAAACTCCACTACAGAAGAAATCAATTTTACTGTCCTGCTGCTAGCATTCTTTTTACAGATTTAAGTGATACAAAGCTTGCAGAGACAGCATAACATGAATGAATTGCTAAACATAGCCAAAACACATGCTCTAAAACATGTTTACTTTAGCACCTAGTGTTCATTTTACATTAAAGGCAAATAATCTTACATGGTACTGAACACTTGATGCATAATTAACTATGAAACCCTGTCCCATTTAGATAAAATCATGCTCAGTATCTTAGAGCCGAGATAAAAAGCCCCCTCTACAAATACTTAAACTAAAAGCGTTTATTAAAATTAATCTAGACTCTAAAAGGCATTCAAACACCTGTGACATTCAGAAATAGTTAAAATAAAACAAAGTTCTTGACTGCCTTTTTTTTTTTTTTACTTAAAGTTTAAAACATTACCTCAGTTTTCTCAGTCAATTCACGGCGTGTTTGATCCAACTGATTTTGAACTTCACTTTGGGATTCCAATAAATGCAACCCATATTGTGCTGCCTTTCTTCGCTCATTCTCTGCTTCCTTGAGTTGGTGTCTAAGACTTAAAATGGTCTCTGTCTCCATTTTTCTTCCTTTTGTTACTTCAATATTGCAAATACAAAATGATTAAAAAAAATATTGCAGTAAGTTACACTAGTTAATCTGAAAAAAGGTATTAAATTTCTTAAACAGGATACAAGGATATATTTTTGCATTAATACAAGACAAAAAAAAGATAGCTCACGAGCAAACAGTCCTGTAAACAGTAAAATAATAGCTCTTTTTCCATAAATTTGGTTAACATCTTATTTCTGACTATGTCTTAAGTAATAGCATGCAGCAAAACAGCTACTGTGTACCCAGTCTGGTTTCCTAGCACACTAGAACCAGACTTAATCTAGTATATAGCTATCTTGCCATATGTGAGAGAAGGCTAGGAAATAACCTTGTAAAAACACTTTTATGCATATGGCTGACAACACTTTCTGTGGTATTATAAATAAAGCATTATAAATGTACATTATAAATGTACAAAACTACATATAGCATTACTTTTGTACACAAATAACAAGATTCATGTAGACAGCTGTATTAGCAGGATAGTTTACTCCTAATAACATTGTGTGGAATATGGAAACAGATAGAGGTAATGAAGGAAAGAGTCAAAAATAGAAACCCAGTTAAAATACATGAAATTTTAACACAAAGATTTTTATTTATTTATGTGCTTAATGGAATCTTTCATGACTGTTTTCCACTTTAAACTTTAGTCACTGCAGGTAACCTATTTGTTAATAACCATCTCCTTGTGACATGTTTTTGAAAACTCATCCATTTCTATCTTCATATCATAACAGAAGACACAAAGGTGAATTTTGCAAAATGTTTTGTTTGTTTGGGTTTATTTTGACTAACATTTTAAAAAATAAAAATCAAGTCAAACTAACACCATAAGCTTGTATAACTGCTTGCTCCCAAAAATCTACTAAATCAGCACACTGCAAAAATACCCCATTAAGACAAAACTGCTAAGCAACTCAGGCTTCTCAACAACAGAAGCCAAGAGTTCTCTCAGAAAGTATGCAGGAACAATGATATACAAATACAAAAAACCCCGGTGTAGTTGATTTTTCAAAGCCAGGGTTCATAATTTTTATGTAGTTTCAAGATTAAAGTAATTCTTCATTGAAGGTCCCATTCCGTGCTTTTTCTTTTTGTATAAACAATTTAGTTGCCATTTCTTACTGGCACATATATTATCCTTATGAATGTTAGCAAGATGCTGGTCTTCAGAGGAAATTTCACAGCTCAACACAGGAGAGTAATTTTAAGAGTCATTATTGTAATGTAATGCCTTCTTTTTTTTTTTTTTTCTAACTTTTATTCAACATGGGTAACTCCACTAGGAGTTACCCAGCTTCCTATAAAAGAAAAAAATAATTTTAACATGCAAAAGTACATCATGCTAAAACTGTAATAATTCCTTTCAGAGATACGAGACAGAAATTATCAAATTCTGTTTTTCACGTTTTCCATCACTTGTTGTTATTCAAATTTAACAGATACAGACAGACTTCAGCCAGCCAGGCTCTGAAACCAGTTTTTCACATCTAACCATTGCAATGCCTGAAATACTAGTTTTGCACACTTATGCTAAAATAAGCCAGTGAAAGACAGGAATTTTACCTACCTGTAACTAAGAATCAACAATATTATTACCGGGGCAAGGACATGTACACTGTGTACAATTTAATAATAAAATGTTTAACACTAAGACGTAGCAATACAAGCGTACAGGCAACCACTCCTAGCATGCGTCTGCATTAGTAAAGGCGATGAATTAATCCTTATTAACTTCATAAACAGATTTTTAAAAAAACCCTTTATTTTCTGATCAAACAACAGTATAGAGGCAACATAGCAATTTGATTCACCTAGCTTACTAAATTAAATTTGAGTAACATTTTTAACTCACCTTCAGAAGTCCATTTAAGTCTGTCATGACCTTATTCTCGTACTTCACCTTTAAAAGAAAAGATAAAAAAACACGGAAAAAACCCCAAACCAAACCACACAACAGTTGTCTAGTCCGGATGAGTATAAGCTGCCATTATAGCACAGTCCTTCATAGCAGTCCTTTTCTAAAAAGGCTTAATGCCTGTGGCTGTCTCATGAAAATGCAGATCACAAGCTAAAACCCCATAGAAATGCAAATCTTATTGAAACCTCAGTTGAGGCAGCTGTCAGATAATTTAGAAACAGCCAGATCAGGCAATGTTGCCAAAGGATAGATACTCTGCAATTGGCCTCTGGGGCAAGTAAACAGGCTACACCCAGGGTCACCTTCTTCTAGCACATATATAATTTTTAAGGGTTGTTCGGGGATTTTTGCCTTGCTCCCTCCTACTTCTTCAATCTCTTTTGCATGCTCTCCTCCAGTTTCACATACAAGATCTTTGAGCTCTTAATAAATCATTTACTGGATAATATAAGAAAGATCTTAGGCTTTTCTTTAATTTTATAGTTGAAGTATGGAGGAAAAGAAATAGGTTTCCTATTCACATGTTCCTTGCTGACTATTGCAGAAAAGAGCAAGTACGCCTTTCAGGGCACAAACTTCCTCAACTTTTCATTGTCAGTCTTGGATGAAGTTAACCAGACAAGTCCAGGTAGCTTTGTTCATAAATCTGTATTGTTATATAGGTAAGTAATTACCTGCAATTAAATATTATACATGAGGTTAAGTAAACTACCCTGAAAATAATGTTTTAAGATAAATAGGTAGTAAGGTGAACAAGTAGGAGGGGATATAATAGAAATCAGTCTCCATTTATTCTACCAAGAGTTACCAGAGAGTTACTCACTTTTGGCTAATTACCTTCAAACATTTTATGATGGATTCTGTACCGAGGGCTCCAGACCTTAATTATTCAACCGTTTAAGTATTCCTTGAAAAAAATAACAGGGTAGAAGATAAAAAGGCACTGTCCGGGCATGCAAACTTTCCTCTCCCACTGTATAACTGTTCTTCTAGTTAAACTGGTATTCCCAAGGGTCATACGTAACAGCCGTCTACGTTCTGATCTATTCAGAAGTACCTACGCAGTTTTCTGATCACTAACGTAATTAGCAACACAGTTCCTCTCCCTTAAGCCAGGTATTCCCCTTACAGTTCAATACAGTTACTTAAACAAGTCCCTTTGTTTACCCTCCAAGTGGCACACTCCAGCCTGAATATTTTCAGGGTTAATCATATTCACCGAAGAATATGTTTTGTGCAAGAAGTATTATGAAGGAAAAAAAAAAAAGTCAAACTACAGGCTGATCCTTCAGTCCCTACGACGCACTCGGCAAGCCAGCAACTTCGCTTCTCCCCGTGGGCCCCGCTCTTCACCCCGGGACAGGCCCTGACCCCTCCGCACTTCGGGCCGCTCCCTCCACCGCCTTCTCCTCCCACACCTTCCCGACCCACGGCAAAGCGACACCGGCCAGCGACTGGCCCCAGCGCCGGGCTCTCCACGGGACCCTCCTCGACACCTTCGGCACTCGCAGGGGCCAGGACCGACCGGCGGGTTTGTTTCCCGCAGGACCCCCCCTCCCGTACTGTATATAACCCTAACGGGCAAACAGGGCCGGGGGGGAGAGGGCTCCCTCCCTACCTCACTTGACGCAGCATCGCCGGGGGCCGTAGGAAAGAAAACGGCCTTTCCCGCTGGAAGCCACAGGGGAAGGCGCTGGCAAGGCAAGGGCCCGAAGGCCACACAGTCCCAGACGCTGCAGCACGAAAGGAGGGGAGGGAGACAGGAGCTCTCCTCCACCCTCCCCGACCCCTCGGCCCCACAGCCCCGCCGCCTGACAGCGCCCTTCTGCGGACAAGGAGCGAAGAGGCAGCAACAGCCCCGCAGAGAGGAAAGCCCCCCGCGCAGCTCACTCCCCCC